TTCTTCCGAGCTCTCGGTATTAGTTAACCGTAGTTTTTCTTCGGCAGCATTAAAGGCAAGGAGGATTTTAAATCTCCTGGACTCTTTGGGGAGGGAGCACGGGGGATCCTGGGCTCGGTGAATCCGCAGTGATTTGCTCCRCTGGAGTTTCAGCGCCCAGGCTGCACCCCCTCTACCTGCTCCGGCTTTGCCCTCGAGGTCCCTTCCATCCCCGGCTCTTTTTTTTGGGAGGTGGAAGCAGGAATTCTGCCCGTGGCCAAAAGGTATTGCTGGCCTTGCAGAGAGGCCGTGGTGGGATGTGGAGCTGGAGCCCTGGCTCGCTCCAAGGGTCCTGCTCGTGGTACCCGGGGCTGGGGGGCTCTGCCCGCACCGGGGGCTTTGCTGGGGCTCCCCCTGCCCCTCTTGGCACTGGGGGAGGGAAAAAACGAGAAGACAACTTGGTAGGCGGCTCGCTGCGGCACCGGCACGTTGGTTTGTTTTATTGGGGCTCAAATATCTGGCTTAATTTGGAGATAAGCCTCGTTTTGTTGGAGGATAAATCTGTTGAGAAGGGGTTTAACTGTTGAAATGCTCCCTCTTTCTGGTGCAAATGGGAAGATTGCTTTTCAAAGTGCTTTTTCCTGGGAGCTCTCRCTCCTGCAGAATCCTGTATTTATTTCGGGCAGAATGGCACATTGTTTTATAAATATCTTTTCTGTAGTTTCAACATAGCTGCTGGTTGTTGTGTTTCTTATATAATGCTACCGAGATCTGTCTGACTGTCTTTCGTTTGCTTTGCTGTTCTCTCCCATTATCGTTCAGATTTTCCTGCATAAAGTAAAAACCCCCGGGGGAATAAATCAGTGGTGCTTATTTAAACAGACCACAACTCTGGAAGGAAATACTTGCATTTTTGGAATATCCTTTGCCATCCACCAATAGCATTCCCAACGCCGCTCGAAACCATTGATAAGTAATTTTTATAAGCGATTGCTTTTCCGCATTGGCTCTCGGAGCCGGGCTCAGAGCCTTTGATGTTGGGTGAGGTGGGTTCCTGTGCTCCTGCCTAAACCTCGGTGAACCCTCTAAAAACCTTGTTCCTCTCTCCYTGCCTTTCTCCTTTTTTCAGATGTGCCCTACTTTGGATATTCCTGCATTGAATGTCTGAGGAGCTCCGGCCGACCCTGAGCCATGTCGCAGATGTTGCACATAGAGATCCCCAACTTCGGGAACACCGTTCTGGGCTGCCTGAACGAGCAGCGGCTGCTGGGGCTGTACTGCGATGTCTCCATCGTGGTGAAGGGCCAAGCCTTCAAGGCTCACCGGGCGGTGCTGGCCGCCAGCAGCCTCTACTTCCGAGACTTGTTCAGCGGSAACAGCAAGAACGCCTTTGAGCTGCCGGGGACCGTCCCTCCCGCCTGCTTCCAGCAGATCCTGTCCTTCTGCTACACCGGCAAGCTGACCATGGCGGCCAGCGAGCAGCTGGTGGTGATGTACACGGCGGGYTTCCTGCAGATCCAGCACATCGTGGAGAAAGGCACGGACTTGATGTTCAAGGTCAGCTCSCCGCACTGTGACTCTCAGACCACCATGATCGAAGACCCCAGCTCGGAGCCGCAGAGCCCCTGCAACCAGCTGCAGTCGGCCTCGGCGCCCTACGTCATGTCCCCCTCCATGCCCATCCCGCTGCTCACACGTGTCAAGCACGAGAACCTGGAGCTGCAGGCGCTGCCCGGCCTGCCCGGCAAGCGGCCCCTGGAGCCCGGTGCCCGGGAKGGTCCCGGCGGTGCCGGCGCCGCCAGCGCGGGGCCCCTGAAGCTGTCGCGGGTCTCCTACTACGGCGTGCCCAGCCTGGCCACGCTGCTGCCCAACGTGCAGCAGGTGCAGTACTCGCAGGGAGAGCGCACCAGCCCCGGCGCCAGCAGCATCCCCACCACCGACAGCCCCACCTCCTACCACAACGAGGAGGAYGAGGAGGACGAYGAGGCTTACGACACCATGGTGGAGGAGCAGTATGGCCAGATGTACATCAAGTCGTCGGGAGGCTACTCTGGTAATGGTTGGCTCTCTCCTCGGGTTGTCTGCGCCCTGCGGTGGTCCTTGTATGGCCACCGTGGGCAGGTTTGGGTTGTTCACCGGGGTTTTGTCTCTGGGGGTTTTGTTGGTTGGTTTTTGCATCAGAGTGATGCGTGTGAAGGGCTTGGTGCTGGTGTCTGGTGTTGATGGCAGGTCACCCCATGCCATCGCTGCCCACCAGGGTCAGCTCAGCCCTTCACTTTCTGCGTGAGCCTGGTGGTGACACGAGCCCTGTGGTGGCACTAGCCCTGTGGTGACACGAGCCCTGTGGTGGCACGAGCCCTGTGGTGTGACATCGATCCCAAGGTGATGGCTGAGCTCACCTGGATGGAAGCTCACCATGGGCCATCCCACAGGGATGCTCATCCATGGCAAAGGAAGCACCAGCCCTTCTGGCCCAGTGGTCACTTTGGGAGTKTCCTCTGTCCTGGCTTTTTAGAGTAAGATTTTCTAAAAACTGATGAGCGTGTAACATTTGGAGGAAGAGAGGAAACCAACTAAATAATTTTAGATGTTAATTAGGAATATGTGCAAAAGGAAAAAAGAAGCAATTTTCTCCCCACTGTCCCAAGCACCCCCCTCCTTTGCCAGCCTTGTCCCACACATCATTGGAAAAGCAGTTTGGGGGCTTTACTAAAGATGTTACTTTATTTCCATTAGAAACAGTGTCCAGAACTGAGTGAAATCCTTCTCCTGCCCTTCCAGAATTTGGGATTGAGGGATGGCAATGCAGATCTCTGGACTGGCCCCAGACAGAGGAGGCAGCTTCGCTTTGGTGCTGCTCAGCCCCGAGGTGGGCACAGGGACACGAGAGGCCCCTTCCCTCTCCCTTCCTTGGACACACAGCCCCTTCCCCTGGCACCTTGTAGGGTTCAGACCCTGCTGAGGAGCCAGGACGAGGTGGGCACAGATCCAGGGGCTCAGCTGCAGAGGGGAGATGCCCACGGGGTGCTGGTGTGTCTGCATCCCGGGTGGAAGCAGCTCCCAGCACCCACACAGACAGAGCTGGATGGAAGCTCAGCCTTGCAGTGGCCTCCCCGAGGGAGCTGCAGGTGTTTGTGGCAGCAGCTTTGATCCACAGGATCTCCCCAGGGAGGGAGGGACATCTTCCTGCTGGCTCTGGTCACCGCTGCGTCCTCGTGCCTGGAGCTTCATTCCCTGCTCTGGCTCCTGGAATCGCTGGGCTGATGTTGCAGTTGTTTTAACTCTGGTTTGTTGAGGAGCCTTCATCAAAACCATTTGATTTTATCTTCTTTGCCAAGGAGCAAGATTTGGCCAACAGGACAATTTCTGTTACCTGAAGTCAGGTTTTGTTAGTAATGAGAATGGGCTCACCAACACACATCCCAAATCCCATCCCATCCCAAATCCTATCCCATTCTATCCCATGGATCCCATCCCATCCAATCCCATCCCATCCAATCCCATCCCATGGATCCCATCCCATCCCATGGATCCCAAATCCCATCCCAAATCCCATCCCATCCCATCCCATGGATCCCATCTCATCCCTGCCAGCCAGCAAGCAGATAAGCAGTATTTTCCAAGTTTCCTTTTACCAAGCCGTGTGAAAAAGGGGGAAAACATAGCACTGTTACTATTTTAATATCAGAAATATTTGCTGGGAAAAGTGGACGAGGGGTTCTAGGAAATGAGCCTCAAAAGCCTGAGTGCTCTCCCTGCCCTCCTGCAGGTCCCAGGGGTTGGGATGAGGGAAAGGAGTGGGATCAGGGATGGGATCAAGGTCAGGGTCTCCTCCATGGCTGYTGTTAGAGCCAGACTGAGCAGGAATTGTGCTGTTCCCCACTTGGTTTGGGTTTATTTTGCTTTTCCCCACCATCAAGCCTGCACTCAGTAATGTGGGTTTGCCTTCAGCATTATTCCTCGGAGCAGTGGGATTAATCCCTTGGACATGGCGTTTTCCATCTGCCAATTCCTGCAGAAACACAACAAAACCACCCCAGAAGCAGCCCCGGGATGGAGCAGCTCTGAGGCTGTCCCAAATTCCTGCAGGACAGGAGCAATCCCAGTTGGAAAAGTGAAAATGCCAACAGCTTTCTCAGGTGTCACTGGAGAAGCTGCAGCCCTTGTGGCAGAACTGGGCATCCCACAGCCAGGTTTTTCTGCCTGATTTCTGTAGGCAGAACCAGGGGGGAGGCATGGAGGAATGAGACTCTAAATATCCCACATTTCTGCTAAAATTCCTCTCCACATTTCAGGAGTTTCCAGCTATAGGTATTGGGCTTCCTGGAAAAGAGGACACATGAAAAAGAGATTCAAAAAGCAAAAGCTAAGCTGTTCCATTATGGTTGGGACTTGTAAAGCTAACTGTGTTTTAATTACTCAGGATAAACTGTACCCTCAAAAGGTGCAGAATAATAAAACCGTGAGATGGAAGAGAGAAGGCAGCTAATCCTGCTCCTGGCATGGAGATCCCGACAGCCTCACAAAGGCYTGGGGGAGGGGGCAGCCCTTTAAAACTGGGATTGCCAAGGTTTCCAAGAGCCCTGTTTGTGAAAACAAAAACAAAGCCAAAGAGGAGYGGAGCAGAYGAAGTCCTGAATTTCAGAGAGRGTTGTTGGGGKTTTTTTTCTGCTTTTTCTCCGTTTTTTCGTTCCCCATCTGAAGCGTTGGTGCCATTGAGAGTGTGGTGGACACTGGTGCTGATTCTCTTCGCTTGCCTTCAGCATCACCGACCACCCTTGGAGGAGTCACCAATCCTCTTCTTGCCCCAAGACTGAGGGGTTTTCATTTATTTTCCTCCCCCTGTTTTGTAGTCAGAACCATTCTGAATCTCCAAAGCTGGATCAGAGAATCATCAAAGTTGGAAAAGGCTTCCAAGATCAAACTTTGACCAATCCCCRGCCCAGAGTGCCACATCCAGCCCTTCCTTGGACCCCTCCAGGGATGGGGACCCCAAACCTCCCTGGGCAGCCTCTTCCAATTCCTAAAAACCCTTTCCATGAAGAAATTCCTCCTGATGTCCAACCTGAACCTCCCCTGGCACTGCTTGAGTCTGTTCCCTGGGAGAAGAGACCAATCCCACCTGCAGTGGTGGCTCTGGATTGCGAGACCAGAACCAGTGCTGTACCCGCAAAAGGAGCAGCAGGACGAGCCCAGGACTAAACCAGGAGGGTCAGGCTGAGCCTAAACCACAGGCAGGGTGGCATCTGGCAGAGATTGCAGGAAAAGGTGCCTCAGTTTCCCCCTGGCCACGCTCGGTGGCCGCGGCGCCGCGCCGGGCTGGCAGCACTGCGGTAAAATGGCTCCTCGCTCCATAAGTAGGTCTGGTCGTGGAGAACATGTGGGCCTCGAGGACACGAGCGAGACTTAATGAGGTTTCCAGCATCTGATCTGAGGAGCGCACAACTCCAGAAAATATTAAACAAAAGCAAAGTATTTTTATCCCTGTTAATTACAGCGTCGTGGGCCTGAGCTGAAGTGGGTTTCAGCAGGACTTGCAGATGCTCGGCGCTTTTCTGCGTCGAGCCACGTTCTTGTCAGTCAGCTCTCTGCTGAGCAGATGCAGTTAATTTAATTTTGACAGGCACCAGCGAAGTTGTGCGAGGGTCCGTCCTCCTCCCCTGCTCCTGCTGCACCGGTTTGCAGGGAAAAGGGAAAATCTTTATGCAGCAAATGGCTGGAATGGAAAGGCTGGACTGGAAAGTTATGAAATCCTGAACTGACAAGAGCACACTTCATTAAAAATTCATCTAAAATAGCCATTATAGAATAGTTGTGGTAATTAGCTGAGAGAATAGTTTTCTCTCCTGGCCTCTGATTCCTGACAGTAAGGAAAGAGGGCAGGGAACAGCCCAGAATCCCAAATGATGCAGCCCGTGCAGCATCCCGAGCGGAGCCCGGGCACGGCGCGCTGCAGCGACGTAAATCACAGCAGCCACACCGGGGAATCAGGGGATGGAGCAGCTGCTGGGGACTGCAGGGACAAGGAGCTGCTCCTGCAGGGTCCAYCCTGTCCCTGTGGTGGCCGGGCTGTGCTGGGAAAGGTGCTCAGCAGCGAGAAGCTCGTGGGTTTTCAGGAAATAAAGCAGGCAAGGGTTGCCTCGGGTATCCACCAGAGCGCCCTGGCTTTTTGCAGAGGGATCCCACCACCTGGGTCCTGCTGCAAGCCAGGCTGTGTGGCTTTGGGTGACAAAGTAGGGACCGCTCACAGGTGGCACTTGAGGATCCTGGAAGTCATTTCCATCCTGAGTGGCTCTGTGATCCCGTGTACAGCGCTGATCCTGCCCCATCCCGACCCCAAAGCTAAGCAGGGGAAGGCTCTGCCCCACACCGGGGGCACTCAGCCTCTGGCCTTTTTTGGCATTAAACTTCCAGCCCCGTTTTCCTCACTCTAAACCACAGATGTTTAATTTTAGGCTGGCAGATGTTTCACTCCTGGCTGAGATCTGAGGCAAAGGCAAGATAGGGGTATTTATAAACCCGTAATATTTTTCCTATACTAATTCCAGATTACCTCCCTGTATAAATAGGTCACAAATCAAATGGCTACAGTTCAGCCCGTTGGTATAAATGTACTATTTGGGAAATGTAAACTCTCCCCGTTGGGACTCTGTGATGGATCTATCCCGTGGTGCTTGCGTGTGTCCTCTGGTACAGGTTTACRTCTGCAGCAGATGCTGGGGATGCTGAGGCTGGGGAGGGAAGATATTTTTGGGGCGGTCCCAAAAATTTTTGGGGTGCCAGCAGAAAATAGGCTGATGGGATAGAAATGTCATTAAAATGTTGCTGTTTGAAAAGAGGCTTCTCATCGTGTAGGAACAGGGGAGAGTCATCCACGAGTTTGTGTCCGTGCTGGAGCAGGTGCAGATGTTTTCTCAGGCCTTTTSTGCAGGGCTTGACATGTGTGATTTTATGTTGGGACTCTGCAAACTTCAATTTTCAGGTGGGGCTCCATCACTCTGATCTTTCTGTATCTCCAGATCCCGTTCCTAAACCAGAAACAGTTGTTTCTCACCCATGGGAGTACCTTGAAGTTTATATGTGGTTTGGAGAACCCAGATTGTTGGGAATTGGGGGGTTTGTGAGTCATTTTGAAGCCCTGCTGTTTGGATTGTCAGGAACTGAGGAGATGAGTGAGTGCTGGGGCCAGATGCGTGTCCAGCAATTCCCAGACACTCACCTGAGCAGCCCAGCCCCAGTAAAATCTGGTCCCAAACACCTTGGGTAGGACATGGTGGCACCAAAGCATCATGGGGTCAACACTGAGGTGACCTCTGGAGTGGACAGTGGGTTTTGGTGATGAGGAGGACACGTCCAGCATCATGAAGAGCCTGAAGCCATGGAGCATGGACCAGTGAGTGTAGTTTGAGGCTGCTTCTTCAGGCAAAAATTCCAGAGAAATGGCTATTTCCCATTCCAGACCACCTGTTGCAGCTGCAGCATCCAGCRAGGTTTGGGGTGAAAGAATAAATCCAAATAAACAAAATATTCCAGTGTTTGGCTGGCAGCTCCCCTGGATTCCTCTGTAATGATTTCCTGCCCYTCTCTGCTGGCTGGGAGCTCCTTTCTTGCTCAGGAACAAAACTGTATTTAACAATACTTGCCATTGTTCACCCTTTCATTCAAAGGGAAGGAGCCGCTGCCCTCTGAAGATACAAATTAATTAGAGGYGAATACTCTGCTGTTCTCCAGAGCAGAAAGGCCAAACAGAGTGGCTTTCTTTGGAAACTTGGGACCAAAGTGGCTCTTGTGTCCTGCTCCTTTACATAACCCTCTGCTATCTGCTCAGCTGAGGTGCCACTGGAAGCCCCAAACCTCTTTTGGTTTGGTGGCGTTGAATTTGTGCTGATGTTTGAATGGAAAMAAAGTCCCCCAAAATGATTTGTGGTCATTTTTAATGAGAGATTTATATGCAGTGAGCCAGCAGGGCAGGTGTAACCAAAATCCAGTGGTGGGTTGAGTTATGCTTGGTCTTTGTAGCTGAGTTTGAGTTTGGTTTATGAAGTATTTGATTTGGAAGAAATAAAAACTTCTCCCTGTCTTCTTGTGTGGAAAATGAAATGTCTTCAGAAGCAAAGAATTGCTTCGAGCCAGAACTGTCCCCAGCCTGTCCTGAAAAGCTGCTGCTCTTTCAGGAAAGAGGTTYGACAACAAATTCTTCAAAATTTCTTCAGGAAGGGAAAACGAATACAGTGCTGCTGATCTTTCTCTTCCCTGCCTCTTTAGTGCTGCTGTAGGATCTCTTTGACCCCCAAATTTGGGTTTTTATGGGATGTTTGCCTGTGGAAGGTGGTGGAGCAGGCAGGGTTGTCCTTGTCCACTGGAGCTGTTTCCACCTGGGTGCTGCAGGTATTTAATGCCTTCAGTGCAAGCAGTCTTGAGGAAGACTCGTGATGAAGAAGGGAAGAGGCTTCAAGGCTGAGGTCTCCCCTTTACAGCGTCACAAACTGCTCTGAACTCTGCCTCACTGGACTGAAACAACATTTTCTGGAAATCTACAGCCTTTATATCACTTAAAAAATACCTGGAGGCCTCCAATCCGAGAGTCCATGCAGGGTTCAGCTTCTCTTCAGCAGCTCCACTGCTTCTTGGGTGGTGATGGATATTGGGGGTACTTTTGACCTGAGTTATTKGTTAAAGTAAAAATGAAATATTAAAAATGTAATTTTAACAAGATGAGCAGAGCACTGTGCTCGGGGGATTGTGTAGGTCACACATACACAGCTCCTGGAGGGGATGTGTTTAATTTTACCTCTGGGAGCTGACTTGGGGTGTCCACTCCTCCCCTTGAGCAAATGAAATATCAGAATTTAACGGGATGTGGTTTGATTATCACTCTTTGAAAGCCTGRGGAGGACAGSAGAGCWGGACTGGCTCCTCCATTCCCACTGYCCCTCTGCTGCTGGATTATTTCAGCTAGAAAATATCAGAATTTAAYGGGATGTGGTTYGATTATCACTCTTTAAAAGCCTCAGAATAGAGCTGAGATTTGACAATTTGAGATTGTCCCTCAGCAGGAGCTGACCCCCATCTCCAGCTGGATTTGGGATCTTGGGAATGCTGGCACTGTTGCAGTTGGGAATGGCAGTGGCACAGATTGTGCACCTATAGCGGGGCTGTGACAGAAGTTTAACAACACCCTGCGAGTTGTTCTGCTGCTGTTGGGTCCTTCCTGATGGAAATACCACTCTCCCTGATCCAGGGGCATCCTTCTGGAATTCCAGAGCCTCTCCTGGTGCTCCTGAGGGAAGGAGGGAGCCCTGAGGGTGGGGATGCTCCCACAGCCCCAGCCCAGCACGGCACCACGGGCATGTCCTACTTAGAACACTGCTGCCTTTGTCCGCAGCCATCGCCCTCGGTTACTGCAGCAACAAGTCTGCAAAAGTTGTTATTTTATCTGCAGAGAGGGAAAGTGGCCCCCGGAACGCCGGGATAATCGCAGGAAAAGGCACCTCCACTGCAGGAGACATTTTGAGCTCAGAAACACTCGTTGCTGCTTCTCTCAGTGGTCACAGATATCAAAGTGCAGGGCTGGGTTTGGGTTTGTGTGTGGTGTTGGCCATGTTGCCGAAGGGTTTTGGGGGAAAAGGTGGATTGTGGTGGAGCTGGGCTGAATTTCAGCTCTGTAACTGCTCCCACTTGCCCTGTGCACGGTCAGCCCTCAGTGCTGTCAGAAATTGTCATTTTAAGCAATCCAATGGTCTTGGACTGTAAGTGGGCTTTAGAAAGGCGTTCTCTGTGTGCCCACAAGACTCATCTTTGGGGGAGCTGGCAGGACAGCCCAGTTCCTCCAGCTTTTCCATGTTACTGGTGCCTCCTGGACAGTGATGGGCTCTGGGGATGGTCCTTTGCAGTGAGTTGGGACAATCTGGTGTTTTGCTTTTGAAGCCACATCTTAATAACATTTTTTGGCTTCTTTTTGAGGGGTGTCTCTTGTTACTGAGAGGAAAAGTTGGCCTGCAGGAGGCAGAGGGAGGCTGGAGGAGGCTGGTGGGGGCATCCTCAGGAGGGGCTCTGGTGACTTTTCTCATCACAGAGGCACCTGCAGGGTCTGGAATTGAACTTCAGCAGGAAAAAAACCACAAAGAGAAGCAGTGATGGGACTGACAGAGGTGCTCCTCAGCCTGGGGCAGCTCAGTGCCTGTTTAGACCCCTCTGGTGAAGTTCGTGCTGTTGTTCTGAGTGAGTTTGGGGCAGCAGCTCCGTGTGCCGCACTCACAGGGCGATGCCATCTGTGCAGAGCTGTCTCTTTTCACAAATTATTAACTTGGGCAGAGTTAAAGCATAATTGGGTTCTGAGAAYCCCTCCTGCAGAACCCCAGGATGGTTTTCTCACCCCTGCCATGCTGGGGGAGACCGGGGGATTGTTCCAAACTTCGAGGCAGCGCCGGACGTGGCCGGACATCTGAGCAGGGAATATTTCCATCTGCTGCAGAAAGAGTGGCAGTGTGACCTTGTGCCAGCTCTGTGCATTACAATTTCTCCTGACAGTTTTCCCTTTTGGTTCTGAAGTTGCCCAGGAGAAGCCGGAGCAGATCCCGCTGGAGAACCGCTCGTGTGTCCTCATCCGACGGGACCTGGTGGCTCTCCCTGCCAGCCTCATCAGCCAGATCGGGTATCGCTGCCACCCCAAGCTCTACTCGGAGGGAGATCCTGGAGAAAAACTTGAGCTCGTTGCAGGTAACAGCAGTGATTTTTCTTCAGAATATTGGGAATTTTTTTCCTCCTGGAATCGCGCTCTCCATCTTGCTGCAGTCGTGCATCTCGTGTGCCCTTGCTTTGTCTTTCTGGATTATTCGTCACCAATCGTCTTTTGAAAAGTTCTGAGTTTCCTTTAATTTGCTGATAGAAAAATGTGTCATTAACAGGATTTATTCAATTGAATTAATTTAGCATTTTAATTGAATTCTGCAGCTTGTGTTCTTCCTGCTCGGTGTGGCTGCAGCGAGTGTGTTTTCATTTTGACTCACAGATCTAAAAACCCAACCAAACCCCCCCCAAAAAATTACCACATTATAGGATTTACAAAGCAAAGGAGATAAAATTAGTGTCAGTGAACAAGCTTTGAAAAACCTGTAAACGTTTCTTTATAAATTTATTAAGTGGTCAAACACTGCAGCAGGAAGGAATAGAATGAATTGAATTTGGTCCTTCCTTTGTCTTTATTTTCATTTTGGGGGAAATTTGCAATAATGGGAGAATTTGCTCCTTTTTTGTAAGGGATTTCTGGGTGTGAGGTGGAAGATGGTTCTGTGTAGCTTTTGATGASAGTGTGGAGCTGGCTGAAGAGTTCAGCCCAGGCTCCCCAGGAAGAGTTTAACTGCAAKGATCAGGTCAAACAATGATATTCTGGTTTTAGAATTTTCTCCCAGTTTGGCTGTGGGGTTTTCCTTGGGTGTAGCTGTGTGGAGATGACTGGACAGGACACCCCAGACCTGCCCCTGAGTGGGGAGCTTTAATTCATCCCTGCACAGCCCCTGCTCCTTCCCTTCCACTCACTTCTGTCTTGGTGATTTCATTTTCAGTTTGTAAAAGAAATCAGGATTTCAGGAGATGCCCACAAAGGGTTCCAGCTGATGGGGGACAGACTTTGATGGAAGGCAAAACACAGTGTACAACCACAAGTATTTCTTTTGTATCTGGAATATTCATTTTGTACCCATTTACATTTTATGTGAGATTCTTAAAACCATCAAGTGGTGCAGGTTATTTTCACAGTGAGAGCTGCAAATTGGCTTGAGGCAACTCTGCTTGATTTACATTTTTCAATCTGGAAAAAAACGTAGATGAATATCACTAACCGATAGTGGCTGCCTGGGCTATTTTTCATTTATTAAAGTGAAGTTCCCCTCGGTGGTGGCTGRTGTTCACTCTGATGCCTTATCTCTTAAAACACAAAATAAACCCACCTAATTCCCRTCTCCAACCTGGGGACACCTGGAGGGGGAGCTTGATCCTGCCGTGGAAGTTTTCCTCAACTCTCCAGTGGGAGTGTTTTCCTTTTATCTCTGATTTTTCACGCCACGATTGATTCAAACTTGAGCAGGGCTCTGTCTGAAAGGATCTTTAACAAGGACTCACCAAAGCACATCTCAGGGTGGGACTGAGCCTGTCACTGGTTTGTAACTCTACCTAAAACCCAAAAAACTCATTATATGGAAGGGAATATCAGGAAAATTCATGGTGAGATGGCTCAGAGATCCAGAGTGGATCCTGGGACAGGAGCAGTGGTCTGGGCTGCCCCTGGTGCCAGGGAAGGTGCAGGGGGTTGGGATCAGGGGCTGCCCTGAGCTCCAGCTCCATCCAGAAAATCAGGGATGATCACCTTCCCTGGAAATCCAGGAGGAGATCGCATTTCTCCTGTAGATGTTTTTATATCTCRAGAACAGATTGTCTTCTGGATCCAGATATGACCCATTATTTAATCTTAATTAAAAGCAAATACCAAAACCCTCTCATGCAACAGAATGCTTGAAAAACGGGATAACCCCTCCCTGGAAGSGATGCTGAGGCTTTGGTCTGTGAGCAGAGTGAAAATGTTTGACACAAACCCTGCTCTAAAGCACTGCCTGCACGTGTCCAGCTGCTTTGCAGGGGCTCTTTTTCCTTCCAGAAAACATCCTTAAAGGCAATGTGCTCAAAAGCAGCAGCTCCTGTACATTAGAAGGAAAATTCCCTGCTCACCAGAGCTATCAAGAGGTGATGGGCTGGGGTTTTGGAAACAGTTAGATCTGAAAGCCAGTACTTCTTCTGTGCTAGATGGGTTTTTGCTTTCATTTCCAGCTCTGTGTTCTACAGTCTTGCACTGGAAAAAAGGAAAAGGCCAAATGGATTGGGGTTTTCTCCCTTCAGAAGGAATAAATAATCTGATCTGTACATAGAGAATCGCAGTGTAAGCCTTGCACTGTGTGCACTGGTGAGAAAATAAGAATCCTTTCATTTGATGCCCACAGACTTCCTTTCTGCACTGATAAAATKAGGAGTTTTTATTGCCTGGCACTTGCCAGGGCCCCGAGGATTTGTTAGGATTTTCCAGAAATCCCACTGTCCTTGTTGCAGCAGGTGAAGAACAGGGATGGGCCAGCACAGGAGGAGCTGCTGGTGGCCTGGGGGTGGCTCTGTGGCTGTCAGGGGTTAATTTTGGCTGCTCCCTCTGCTCCCTTCCAGGCTCAGGCGTTTACATCACCCGGGGCCAGCTGATGAATTGCCATTTATGTGCCGGTGTCAAACACAAGGTCCTCCTGAGGCGCCTCCTGGCCACTTTCTTCGATCGGTGCGTCCCCTCC